CGCAAACCTGCACTTTTCTTGCTTCAGTGTGAGTCCGGAAGTCTTGATGGCTTGAAGTACAGCTTCAAGGCGCCGAAGATGCTCGTCGAAACTTGAGGAAAACACGACGACGTCGTCCAAGTACACAAGGCAAGTCTGCCACTTCAATCCTGCCAGTACTGTATCCATAACGCGTTGAAAAGTTGCAGGCGCTGAGCAAAGGCCGAAGGGCATCACCTTAAACTCGAAGAGGCCGTCCGGTGTTATAAACGCCGTGTTCTCTCGGTCTCTTTCGTCGACTTCGATTTGCCAATAGCCAGTCTTGAGGTCCATTGACGAAAAATACTTGGCGTTATGGAGCCGATCAAGTGCGTCGTCTATTCGTGGGAGAGGATACACGTCCTTTCTTGTGATTTTGTTCAGGCGGCGATAATCGACGCAGAAACGTAGGGTCCCATGCTTTTTCTTCACTAACACCACGGGGGATGCCCATGGGCTCTTGGACGGCTGGATAATGTCATCCCGCAGCATTTCATCAACTTGTCTCTTGAGGGCCTCACGTTCTCGCGTCGAAACCCTGTACGGACTCTGACGGAGTGGTCTGGCATTTTCTTCGGTTATGATGCGATGTTTCGTGATTGGGGTCTGCCGAATTTTCGATGACGACGAAAAGCAATCTTCGTATTGCAGGAGCAGGGCGTTGAGCTTTTCTTGCTTATCGTTCGGAAGTCTGGGATTGACGTCGAAAGCTATGGGAGGGGCTTGGTTCCTCTGAGCAGGTTCCGCAGAATCGGCGAGGGCGAAAGCACTGGTGGCTTCGACAATTTCTTCGATGTATGCGACCGTTGTTCCTTTATTCACATGTTTGTACTCATTGCTGAAATTTGTGAGCATAACCATTGCTTTGCCTCCCCGCAACTCTGCAATTCCTCTTGCGACGCAAATATTTCGGGTGACCAACAGATGCTGACTGCCTTCAACGACGCCTTCGAAGTCAGGTGATTCAGGAGCGCCGACTGAAATAATGACGCTTGAGCGAGGCGGAATGGTGACTTGTTCTTCCAGCACATTCAAGGCATGGTGTCCAGACGGCGTGCGCGGCGGTAGTGCTTCTTCTGTGGATAACGTTATCGACTTTGTTTTTAGGTTGATGACAGCACCATGGAGGCATAAGAAGTCCATGCCAAGGATGACATCTCTCGAGCAACGCTGTAGGACTACGAAGTCTGTAGGATAAATACGGCCGTTAATGGTGACTCTCGCTGTGCAGATTCCTGCAGGCGTTACGAGATGACCTCCGGCTGTGCGGATTTCAGGGCCTTTCCAAGCTGTCCTAACTTTCTTTAACTTCGCGGCGAACGACCCACTGATGACAGAATAGTCGGCTCCAGTATCGACGAGAGCGGTCACACTGCGGCCGTCGATAAGAACGTCGAGGTCGCTAATTCGCCGTCTCGCATTACAGTTAGGGCGTGGCGTCGGGTCACGGCTGCGTCGGCTTGTTCCGCTGCTTCCATGTTGCGTCGTCAGGCCACCTTCGGTAAGTGAGCTTTCGCCGTCAGGGCTTTGCCTGGTTGGCGTTGTGTTCGGAAAGCTCCGTCGCGGCGTCGTCGTCGTCGGAGGATCTTCGGTAGTTCGTCGCACAGCAACCGCACCTCCACCGGTTGCTGCCCTTAGTTTGCCGGATACGGGCTAGGAGACCGGCCCCGCGTTGGGCCAGAGTACTGTCGGTGGTGCGTTGACGTGCGGCGGCTGGGCGACGGCGAACGCGAAGGGCTTCGTGGTGTCCACCGAGTTCCTGTCAGGTAGTCGGCGATGTCACGTGGTCGTTCTCCTGGCTGTGGGCGCGGTGCATTGACGGCGAAGCCACGCAATCCCATCTGTCGGTACTGGCAACGGCGGTATGTGTGTCCGGCCTCGCCGCAGTGGTAGCAGAGCGGGCGATGGTCAGGGGTGCGCCAGACGGCAGTCTTCCTCGGTGCACTGCGCTGGGCCGCTGGCGAACGGTATGACGTCGGCGGGGGTGGTGGCGGCGGTGGCGTCTGTCGACGGAAGTGCGATGGGGCGGCGTTTTGGCGTGGACGGGGAGGAGCGTTGTGGCGCAGTGCAGCGGCGTAGCTCATAGCTTCCGGCTCGGGCAGCGGTGCGTGGGGAATTTGAAGCGATTGCCGAACTTCTTCTCGCACAATGTCGGCGATCGAATCCACTTGAGGCTGCGCCGAAGGCAACAGCTTGCGCAGCTCTTCCTGCACGATCGCTCGGATCGTTTCACGCAGGTCTCCGGAGTTACTGGCTTGAGTAGCAGCGCAGTCTGCAGTCAGGCGACGATTATACTGTCTGGTGCGCATGTCCAGGGTCTTTTCAATAGTGGTCGCTTCGGCTACAAATTCTTGGACGGTTTTCGGTGGGTTTCTTATCAGCCCCGCGAAGAGCTCCTGTCTGACCCCTCGCATGAGGAAACGAACTTTTTTCTCCTCAGGCATGTCTGGGTCAGCGTGACGGAATAGTCGGGTCATTTCTTCTGTGAAAATGGCGACATTTTCATATGGTAGCTGAACCCGGGTCTCTAATAAAGCAGCGGCCCTCTCTTTTCGAGCGACGCTCGCGAACGTTTGCAGGAATGCGCCGCAGAAAACATCCCACGTTCGGAGCGTGGACTCCCGATTTTCGAGCCAGGTCCTTGCGGTGTCTTCTAAATAGAAGAACACACGACGCAGCTTTTCGTCATGGTCCCAGTGGTTGAGGGCGGCCACACGGTTGTATGTCTCTAGCCAGGACTCCGGATCTTCGAACGATGACCCATGGAAAATTGGTGGTTCCCTGGGTTGATGCATGACCATCGTGGGCTGGCACGCTGCGGTTGTCATTGTCGCTGCAGTCGCAGTCATGGCCTTGGTCTTCCGCGGCTTGTCGTGTAGAAGCCCGTACTCCGGTGGTAGCCCTTGCTGTCGGCGGCTTGTTCGCTGCTCCTGGTTGGCGTCGGTGTCTTCTCCGCGACGTGGGCTGGGTTCACGGCTTGACGGGGGCGTCCGGTACATGAAAGAAGCAGCACCTCCACCAAATGTCACGGGGTCGTGACGTGGCCGAAGACAGGAGACTTCTTATTGGGATTTAACTGTTTATTTGGGCGAACCTGTGCCCGGTAAACAGAAAGTCCAATTACAGCGGCAGTCTCGCACAGATAGCAGTCTCAGACTGATAGCGGCGAAGGGAGCGTCGGCCTTCGATCAACAACTGACAAGCGGCGAAGCGCGTCGGCATTTATACTCCCGCCGTCGAATGTTCTAGCGCTATTGCTGGCGGCGGCGTACGTTCCAGAACAATCTGTACCATTCGCACAGTGGGCGTGATCTTATCGAAATGATCTACTACAGTCCGGAACCCTCTCGAAAACTGCAGGCGCGGTTTGCGCTGAGAATCGTGTGGTGTTTTGGGATGATAACAAAAACTTGGGAAATGAAACGTGGCAATATTGAAAGTTAACATTTTATGTAGCGAGGAATAGAAGGTTAAGAACCTTAACATTAATAAATTCTGAAAAATCACCTAAGCTAGGTAGGCCGATGTGGCTGACTGAAAGGTAATAATCCCGCCATGAACAGGCAGTTCCTCAGTTGCCCAGGTTCAAGCCGACTTGACGAGACTTGACATCTCTTCGTTAAGTTCAAGCGAACTTAACGGAGAGATGCCTCGATATAACAATAATCAAAGGGTTGTATAGAGGCAATTAAAGTAATTCATACAGTATACTTACAGGAACGATTCTTAATTAAAGCGTACGTTAATGGCAATTACGCTTCTTATATTTAGACAGGAGGCTACCTCTAGAGAAGCTCGCCGCTGCTGGAATGCCTCTACCACGGCGAGAGTACAGCATTCAAGCGACACTTTTGGGTGACCAAGGAGACGTTCTGGAGCCTGATGGCGCTCCTGTGGGAAGACAGTACCGCCACAACACACGGATGGTGTAGGGAGCTGCACCTTTTTGTTTTTCTTTTGTGGTTAGGTTGCGGAGCTCCTTTCCGAGTCGTGGCAGCGTGCTTCAGTATCCCAATTATAAGAACCACAACGTCTGGAATGGTCATGAGTATTTTGAAAATATAGTGAAAAAGCTAAACAAATTTATATACCAACCAAATCCAGAAAAATTACCTGAAACTGCCGCAGGATTTTGCACCATGTCAAAGTCCAACAGTTTCTATGGGTTTATTAGAGCCATAGATGGCACCCACACTGAAAGCTCCAACTAGTATGCCAGAAGACTATTTTAACCAGAAGCACTGTTACTCAATCCAACTGCACGCAGTCTGCGACCATCGGGGCATATTCGTAGACATTTTTTGTTGGGTACCCCGGAAGCGTCCACGATACCCGGGTTTTAAAGAATAGTCCAATCTACACTAGAAGCCTTTATCCCCCTCCTGGATACGCAATTTTAGGTGATTCTGGTTATCCCAACATGATCGCACCAATTGCGATCGCAACTTCGTATAAAGACGCAACCCGACGTGTGGAGGTACGCTTCAACACAGCCCACGCAAGAGCGCGTGCAATTGTTAAGTGCGCCTTCGGCCTTATGCCGCTGGAGGTCGGTGTTCACAAAGGCACTGGAGGTGTCTGTGTAGAATGCACTGGATGTCGTTGCTGCATGTGCAGCCGTGCATAATGTGTGCGTGCGTATGGGCGACGCATCTCCTGGAGAGATTGAAGAAGACGTCAACATTGGTGGGGAAAACGACATAGAACCTCCGTTCCAGGATGCAGAAGCAGAGCAAAGCAGAGACTGTCTGGCCGTTCAAATTTTCTGCCCTGTGCTGTGCGGCCATCATGACTATCATGCAGTCATATGAGACCAGTTTTTTAAGTCAGTTGATTGTACGCAAGCTGCCAGAATTTTTCTTTAACTATGAAACATGTATATATGTATAGTATATTAATAATTGTAATCAATAATTTTGAATTGTAACACTGTCTTATGTTACCTAAATGTAAAAAAATAAACTAATCGTTGCTTGCGTACCTCATAAATAATCAAACATCCTCCCCATCAGTTCCGTGTGCCTCTCTACATTCGTTAGGATTCGCTCCATCACATCGCTTCTGTTCTGCGGCTTCGGCCTCTCCTCCCGTCGCTCGCTGTCGCTTCGCCTCCCGGGGTCGCTGATCGTTCTGCACGAAACAAAATGAATCGACCAGATCTTTCATTCAGGTATGCCTGAATGAAAGGTCTGGCATACCCGCTTTCACAAATATCGAAATGAACGCTGGTTGCACTAAAAACAAATCTGAACACTGTTCGAACCTGCTGATGTAAAAATCCTAATTACCTTATACTTTCCCATCAAGTTGAGCCACTTCTTCCGGCACTGTTCGGGCGTGGTTCTATGCAGATCCAGATCTTGAATTATTTTTCTGTAAGCCGAAAATAGCCAAGTACTGATAAAATACATTTAATGCTACATTCATATTCCAGAACGTGCTCCTCCAAGCCATGACACGATCACAGCTACTTTGCCACTTCCAAAAAACGAACGCTAATGCACAGTCATGAAATCTGAACAGTTTCACCGACGAAACCGACAGCGCCGCTGCCATACTCTTCTTCCTCGAATGCCGCATGCAATGAGCGAGCGTCGGAAGATGAATAATCGATGGGAGTGCGCGGACTATATTCGCACATAAACCCCGCATTACACTCGTACGTTAATAATCGCACATCTAACAGTAATTGTCATAATCTACACTTACGGTAACTGGCACTTCGGTTTCGGTTTCACTGGTAAATGCATATTTACTCTATAATACATAGCAGAAGCCGCTCTTTGGCAATCTCAAAGCGGCAAGAAATTCTCAACAGGAATGCCTTCAGTTTTCTTACTTGATCACGTGTCTCTAGTATTTGAAAAGTTCATTATTCTATTTTACTTATTTGCTTCAGCTATTGATTGTCCAAAATATGATTGGGTGGCAGCTGAGAAAGTAAGTGTGAAATGAACGCACCGAAACAAGTCATCTTTTGAGTATTTTTGCGGCGCTTCTTAAAACAATTAAGTATCTACCCATACATTCATACACCAAAGATAGCGGACGTCCCTAAACATATTGAGGCCTGACGAAATCCTTGAAAAGCGGGTGTCGCTGGAGCCAACGTTTCGACAAACCAACTTGCCTTCATCATTTGCTGCCATTACTGAGACAAATGCACTTGTCTTCTTCAACTGGTCTCCAACGACGCCCCCTATTCCCGGAATTATCATCACATATACACATGTTAGCCAAGAAATATGATCATCCAATGGCAACTAACTGCCAGCCTTGCTTTGCTGCGTTCCTTTTTCCTGTGAAAAGGTGCCGTAACTCATGTCGTTTAATTATGTGGAGCCTGGTTTGATCCTCCGTAACTGTAAAACAACAAAAAAAGTATTCTTGCACTGATATACGCTAGCAACCAGTATTTTTATTCATACTTAATAAAGCAAAAGGTGAGGAAAAGTGCACAATTTGGCGCGGCCGCTGTTTCAGGTAACGAGGAGCAGGTAGCCACGCACAGCGGAGCGTCACGACGGCGCCGCGTCATTACTACCACAGTATTGCGCCACGGTGCCGGACCACAGGACACAGCGTAGTTCGTTGTGCGTCGTCTGCTGTGGTTTCACCCACTTCACGGCAAGCGGTGAAATTCGCGGTTTCACCAGCGCATGCGGCGAAGCTGGATGAACCGTAGCAGACGACGCGCGCCTAGTTTGAGGTTGTGCGCGCGGCGCCCACTTCGTGGTCCAAGGAGCGGGGTCACGCACACCATGATACGTGTAACAGTGGCCGCGAATAAATTGGGAGAAGTCATTACGCGTCCAACGACACCCCCCCCCCCCCCCCGAAAACACACGCACTTGCATATACACGTTTACAATAGCTCGCGCACTTATTATTTTTTTTTCGCGTTGCGCAGCGCTTTATGAACACAACAGAACCAACAGGAAGCCAGTAAGATACATCAAAAACGCAGAACAGTGACGAAAAGAAATGTCGGCTTGCGCCGTCAATTGAGCATGCATCTACTGCTTCAAATGTAATAATACGTTGAAAGCCCGGTAATAGAAGTAACACAAATATACTTAATATGACGCCGTGTATTGCAACTATTCATTTCTATTTAGATTCGTGACCCTATAAGCACCTTTCAAACATAATGCCTGCATCTACACGAGCCATGAGATGGTCACGAAATTCTGTCGATTTGTATTACCGAGCTTTCAACGTATTATTACATTTGAAGCAGTTTCCCGCAATGGACAGACAGCTTTTTGTTGCTTCGCATACAATGCTGAAAGCGTTCGCAACTCTCTCGCTACATTACAAGAGCAGCCAGCGTAATTTATGGAAAGTCTACGCATTAGGCATGCTCTTAATGCAATAAAATACTTACACTTGAACGCGGGAGCCTCGGTGGGAACGAGAAGCTGCGACGACGAAGCAGACTAACTTCCCACGTCACCCACCATCTTGTTTAGACAGCAAACTAGCCGGCATCGTATTTGTCTACGATGCGGCCTTCTCCGAGCTGACTATACTTTGCCGGCTACGTGAACAATTGGAATGGGACTTAAGATGCCCGCGGTCCATTTGAGCTGTCTGTTTAGCCGTCTACGGTGAGTATTGGAACACAGCCCGTGCCACACATGGTGCCACAACTGGTAGGTGTTCTGTGGTGCCACGGATAGACACGGAAGCGTGGTGCAGTTGTGCTATTCTTGATGAGGAACGAGGATTATGGCACGCACAATTCAGGTATTTTGATTAGTTCTCGACAGTTTAATCTCTGGAAGACTTTACAACTTCAGGCGATCGTCGAACGAGTGTGTTAGCCTGTGACAAGACTGTTATATGGATCCATCGTGTTCGGAAGGCCACGCTGGCTGCCTTGTCCGGAATGCAGCCAATTGAAGGAAATCAATCTCTTTTGCTCCGAGTAAGTGAAGATGTAGATACAATATAATGCAACACAGATAATGCAACACAGAGTGTTTGAGAGTGGAGATGATCGAACGTTGCCTTGCAAACAGTGCTTCAGACTCTGCAGATTCGCGGCCATTTGTTTTGGAGCGTGATAAAATATGAGCGTCGATCGCGCAATACTTGTGCTCAACAGCATGCTAAATAACTATGAAGTATACTCGTGCAGGCTTGGAGCTGTATCCGAAGTACTGGAAAAGGGCACGTATTTGCTCGGTAATTATATATCCCTAAACATGTTGTCTGTGTGTGAGCTTTGGCTTTACTGTCTGATGACTTATTTTTGCCGCGGAAATAAGCTCGATGGTTTGAAAATCGGAATAGACCAAGGCGTGATCTCTACAGATAGTGTTAAAATAATGTATAGTTATATTTATGAAAATTCTCGAGGGAATTAGAATTTCGCATTATACGTGAAACGAGGGAATTGTATTAATAATTGTTGTACATGGTTGTAAATTATACTGTAGTGTATCTGTACCTTTTACTGATATGTACAATAAAAGTGTGGCCTATTTGTTTGTTCACAAGCGTTGTTGACTGTATCGTAGAAAGATTTGTAGATAACTACAATCGCATGTTGAAATGCACAATTCAGCAGAACCTCACTTATGATTGCTTCATAAAAATATCTCACAATGATATAGTCGTTGATCGAGTCACGTATTAAAAAAATGCGAATTAAGAGCCGCAGTTTCTGCTTACAGGAGCCGTCCGTAATTGCGACTATAGTACTTGTGTTTTGGTTGATAGCAGTATCGACTTTACGATTTTCTAATGAGATGAAATTTAATTTCTGGTAGTATTGCATGTGTAAAGTAGTAACTACAGTTTTGCTTACAGTGTAAATATTTTTTTCAGATTGTTCCGTACGCACGAGATCTACGAAATAACGAGCGTTCACCACCTATTTAAGAAAGCAATCAAGATACTTCACAGCCCCTGTACCCTCAATCTGCAAAGTTTCTAATAAATTAAGTCCAATTTCAACGCCAAGCTTCCTCGTCTATATGTATTGCACGGGTACACTGGCAACTGGAAACAATTGAGACCAGTTCAAGTGGCTTATGGTCGAATTCCCAGTGGGGACCAGTGGCCAGTGGGTCTCAACTGGGATCAGTTGAAGTGGTTCATGGCCAAATTCCCAGTGGGGACTAGTTGCCCACGCGTCCCAGTTGGAACCCACTAGCAACTAGTCCCCACTAGGGAATTTGACCATAAACCACTTGAAGTGGTCGCAGTTGATCCCAGTTATAACATTTTCACCTGAGAATCACGCTCGCCGATTCGCAGTGTCATTCGGGTGCTCAAGTTTGGCGACTCAAGCATTCTCAGTGATGACTAATCAATGGACGCATTTGACGGCGACATGTGCCGAGTAATAGCTTCCGTTTTGGCTGTAATCAAGGATTGCGGTGCTGTTGCTGCGTGTCTTGAATCTCAACGTGGAATCTTTTTCGGGAGGTTGGTGAGGATCGTGTTCGACTGGCACTCAGTGAGCCCCTGTTTAGAAGCGCACTACCGATGCACCTTCGCGCAGCAGACGCAGAGCACAAGTTGTAGCAAGCGAACTGAACGTATGCATGCATGGGTGGCTTTCGTCCGATCTACCACGTGCAAGAAAGAAGGGGTAAAAGAAGAGGGCGTGACACATAGCTTCTGAAAAAAAAAAGCAAGAAAAGGTGAGCTCTGCCAATATACCTTTCGCAAGTTCCCAAAACCACATTTCCTCATTATACAACGGCGTCTTACTGCTCTCTTCTTCGCAACTGTAGGTTTCGCATGGAAGTCGTGCTTGCTTGGGGTCCCTTCGTGTGTGTGGTACTGCGGGGTGGCTGGCGACCATGCTGGTGGCGCACACGCTATAAGGCTAGCTCTGAAATGCAGGAACCATAGCGTACATATGTGCTCAAACTAATATCGCTTATATGTACGCCGTGGTTCCTGCATACATATGTGCTCAAACTAATATCGCTATGTACGGTGACTCACTCGCTGGATTCCGTGCCGACCGGTTGTGCCCTCGCGATCTCCGACGACAGCGCAGCTCTGACCGATCGGGCTCACCCTACGTCATCTCCTGAGGCCAACCTCCGACGACAGTGTAGCTATGACCGACTGGACTTGCTTTACGCCACCTCCTGACGCCGACAAGAGCTCTCGCAAGTGGTGCCCCGTCCTCGGGCTCCTGTGACCGTGTTTCCATCTTTCCTATCTCTCCTATCCCCTCAATATGTTGTCGCTCTCTCGCTTACCACCCCACGCCTCTTTCTCTCTCTCTACACTTTTATTTCTACCCTTTTAATCCATCCTCACCCCCATCCCTTGTGAGCTACTGTTGATGTGTCGCTCGCTGAAGCAGACAGTTACGGGACTCATTTTTTCTTCCTTTCTCTCTTAGAACCACTTAGTAGCTATGTGCTTCTGCTGCAGAGCCTCCGCGGTTTGTGGTCGCTCTGAAGAACGAGCAGTGTGCAAGGTCGCCTTTCTTTTCGCCACTCCAGTGCTCATTGTACGTCCGCTGTCTAGGAGAAAATACACGACCACCCTTCTGGAGACACCATTTGTAGAAAACGCAAGCCCCGAATAAAACAGAAAACACGTGTTTCGAAGCGCCTTTTTATCCTTAGAGCTTTGAGTGGGCATTGTTTCGACGTTTCGGAATGCACACGGTTCCTCTTTAAAGTTCAAAGAGGGTAGGCACGAACCACCCGTCCCCATCCTCGGCTGCGGGCAACGTATTCGGAGTGTGAGAAGTCAGCGAGACTTTTTTGCTTTTTTTTCAGTTGCTGAGCACGTAAGCAGTTATTCGAACATGTGGTTTCACTTTGAAGATGCGTGCACAGCATTGTTTCCGGTTTAGAACTGGCCCTAGCTCGGTCTGTAGAGGTTCTTCAAATGAAAGAGAAGAGAAAAGCGCGGAGCTGTTATTGTCTTTTAACACGAAGGCACCGACACTGCTCCACGCGGGGACGGGGGAGGGGAGGTAAAGAAGGAGGAGAAAAATATAGGAGGAGGAAGGGCGCATTCGACTGTGTCACGCGGGGTACCAGTGGCTTTGGGGGTACGCGCTGCCGCCGGGAAGGGGAAAACAGTCAGGCGGGCCAGCACGGGCTGGGAGGCGAGTTTACAAAGGCGAGCGGATAGAGCCACCCACAATGCACCGCGGCCCAGCGCTCTTGGAGGCTATGCATTTCCGCCGGCCTAACTGTGTCATCGCGCTGTCGCTCCCCGCACTTTCGTATAGTGTTGCCGGAGGCTGCTGCTGCAGCCTAGCGGGGGGTCGCGCTCGCGGAAGGAAGCCCTGCCAAGGCATATGGCCCTGCAATCGGATGCTCGCGAAGTAATCGTGTGCGGCTCGTCTGACCGAACGTGCTGCGCTGAGTTAGATACTCGTGAATAAAGCGTGTGCCCCCACCTCTCACTGTCGCAAAGCCGCGTTATTCAGGACGCAATAAAGCCGAGTCGCCACTACGCCTGTTGCCAAGTGCTCGGAAGGAAGCCCTGCGCCGAGTAGGATACTCGCGAAAGAAGCGTGTGCGCCCACCTCCCACTGAACGAACGCCCTACGCCGAGTTGGATACTCATGAAGAAAGCGTGTGCCCCACCTTTCACTGCCGAGTCGCAAAGCCGCGCCGTTCAGGATGCATTGAAGCCGAGTCGACTGACTACGCCTGATACACCTAGGCCTGCTGCGAAAAACGCCACACCGGAGATTACTGAACTCCACTTGGTGAGTTTTTGTTGATTCTCAGCATGCTGTTATTGAAAGCGCGTTTCTGATACTGTCGTTTTAAATAAGGCTACGAACTGAGTTCGGGCAGCAAGGACAGAAATGTAGTGGTGATACATGCGTGCGATCGTAAAATCCTTGAAAGCCTGCGCGCAAAACTTTGTCGTGCGTCACTACCACAATGTCGAAGCTAAAAGTAAAGCATGCAGCCTCAAGACATTGTCTTTAGTCGAACTAATTTGAGACAAGAGAATTAAACTTATTGGAAAGGTCTTCGCGATGTTTTTTTTTCATGGCTTCACTGCAATACGGCCCCGTGTTCAGGTGAAGGCAAGTTAGACTCGCAGTTATCCTCGCCCGTTTGTGGTTGTCGCTTTTTTTTTCGCCCCCCTGTGTTATTATGTGATCTGAAAATAATCTGCCACCCTTCTCTATGAAACTGTCGAGTGCATTCCATGCGGCTCTACTCTGCATGATGTCTCCTTTGAGAGGCTTCTTCAATAAAAGAATGTATTAGGGCAAAGCTTACTAAAATCACAGCTGCCAACTGTTGTAACCACTATACCCATGCAAAAATAAATATGCAATACATGAGATAATAATTTATTAACATGAAAACTGTCCCATGAGAGAACACTGAAGGTATTTACAGGAGAATGGCACAACAAAGATAACACTTTATGCGTCAAGCATAGACATACGTGAATGTACACATTGGTGAGTTCATGTATGAACAGTCATGGTAATAACTTTGAAAAGCAAAATGAACTCTGCTTGCAGTGCAAGCTGAAGGAAAAATGAGAAGGGAGACAGGAAAGAGCGTACTCTTTCCTGTCCCCCTTCTCGTTTTTCCATCAGCTTGCACTGCAAGCAGAGTTTTCAAGTATGAAACCAACTAGTCTGCAAAGAAGTATTGATTCAAAAAGCACAAAGTCTTTGTTAGAATTTCAGTGGAAGCGGCATAGCAGGCACGTATATTAAATGGACACTATCGACACGATGCTGTCATGCCAATGTGTGTAAAGTACACAGATGAAGCATGGTGCATACACAGGCAATATCAATTTGACTTTCTGTTGACCAGAAAGCACTATACTGCACTTAGGCTCAGCCATCTTGAGACTAGAGTAGGGCTCTGTTGTTTTGAGCTAAAATTGAAAATGCAAGTGGCACATCGGTACTAAAAATGTGGGCTCGGTAGTTGGCCATCATATAATGATGCACTGGATGATGTGGTGTTCACAGAAGGGCATACTATTGCTGACAGCACAGGTAGTTTGCCGGGTTAACACATAAGTGTGCATTGCAGGGAACTTGGTGGTGACAAGTGGTGTTCTGGTACCGTTTTATACATTGAGTGATGTGGGCCGACAGCACTGAGGACCAACCCACCACATCTAGTGGTGACCTGCAGGTTACGGCATTGAAATCCCGGCCGCGGTGGCAGTCTCGATGCAGCACATTGGAATGAAAGAAAAAGGATGAGTGCACTATACAATGGGACGGCGTGTCATAACGCAAAATAGCTCAATCGGCCGCTATCAAGCAAGGTATCAAATAAGAATAAACAGCAAACAACAAAATGGAGAAGATGAATTAAAAGAAACCATGCTAAGTTGTCAATACACTGTAATGTTGCTAATTAGACGAGTCGGAGCAAGAAAAGTACGGTTAAAGTCTAGAAACGCGCGCGACTACACTTTCTGGAAGCTAATAGCAGTTTCTTGAGGTGCCTTCTGGGAGAACCTCATAGGGTACTTCAGTATTTCGCTGTAAAACCTTGTAAGGCCCGAAATAGAATCATAGCCCAAAAACCTTCTCCGAAAATATGTCTGTGCCCCAACGGGTGTTTCATAAATGATATTGTTACTGGTAGATGACTGAAAACAGGTATATTTACAATATATACAGTCACAGTAATGCGGGTAAAAACAACTGCGATAGCGAGAGCAGGCACCACCTAGTCCTTCACTTTTTCGTCCTCTCTATGTGAGCGGCACATAACGTTACCCTCCGGCGGTGAAGGCACCGACTCGGTGCAGTCAGAGAAAGACGGTATAGAGGTGGTTATTATACATGTGCGTTGCGGCAGCCCGGTGTATGACATGGCTTCAGACGTACAACGTAAACGATGTTGGTACGGGGTGAGTCGACGAGGACAAAGACAATTCAATTTCTTATGTCACGACGGTCACTTGGCGGTGCATAGGGTACGGTTCGGAGGGCGGGAACAGTAGCTTTGTAAAAAGCCCAATACAGCGTGCTGGAGACCACAGCACAGGAATCCTGGAGGAAAGTGAGTGTTTATATGACTGCTCTCGTAACGAAATCGTTGGCCCGCTTGCGAGTCGGTTAGCCGAACGCACACAAGTTGACGTGTATGGTCGGCATGGGCTATAGCTTATTGAGCGTATTCAGTGGGTGGGCATGTTGAAGGAGGCATCATTGGTGTCCATAGGCAACATTGGATTTCAGTCAAATAAAATAAAGGCGAACAGCCAGCTGCCTCGTGTTACGACGTATATGTTGCACAAGACTAAGACATCTTGTATGTAAACCATGTACGGCTCCGTTGAGGTTCGGGCACGGCACGAGAGTTCTTTATGTTGGCGTGCAACGGGCTTTCCGAAAAGGTTTTTTTTTATTTTTTGAAGCACATTGGATGAAGCACGAGCCAAAAAAAACGAGCGAACCTCTTTGGAAGAACGTGTAATAGGGAAGTTGATGACGGCGCGTATTTTTGCTGGATCAGCTCGTTTACTTGCAGCGTCAACAAGATGGCCAAGCACGGCGATCTCCAGGCGCAAAAAGCAGCATTTTGAAGAGTTGAGTTGAAGATCAGCAATGTGAAAGACTTGCAATATGGCCGACAAGTTTTGCAGGTGACTAATGAATGTAAGGGGAGAAAACTACGATATTGTCCAGGCAGCAGAGAGGCATGTGGACCACTTGAAACCCCTCAGTAGAGAGTCCATCACACGCTCAAAATGTTGCTGGCGCATTACACAACCCAAAGGGCATGACTTAACTCCCAATCATTTTCATCGACAGCTATTTGTCAATAGCCCAAACGAAGGTCGATGGAAGAAAAGTACCGTGCACCAAAAGGGAATCAATGGCGTCGTCTATTTGCAGCAATAGGCAGAAGTATTTTTTGATTTTGTTGAAGTGCTGGTGAAATGCCGGTAGTCGACGCAGAACTGCCAGGTGTTGTCTTTGTTTTTTACAAATACTACGGGCGACGCTCAAGGGCTCGAAAATGGCTCCATGATGTCCTTAGAGAGTATTTCATCAACTTCCGTTTGAATGACGCTGCGATCGGTCGCCGAGACATGCTAAGGGTGTCGATGAATGGGTGTTGTGTCCGCGTTGTCAATTCGATGCCTCACTAGATATGTTTGTCCAAGTTTGGGTGAAGCGAAATCAAAAGTCGCGGTATGACTCCTAGGAAAGGCGTAGGTCCTGGCTTTTAGAAGGGTCAGGGTTCGGGCAGGCAATCATGTTTTCGAATGTGTCATCAGGTGTCGGGCCAGCAGCAGGGCTGCCTGGAGGCGACTGTGGGGCATCAATGGCCAGAGCAACAGGGTTGTTTGCGTCTAAAGGTGATATTGTGCCCAGCGAGATACCTTCAGGAAGCAGTTGTGCGCAGCGTCCAAAGTTCAGGACAGGTGTGCAAAAGTTGTTCGCAGAAACAGTCACAAGATAGTGAGGCAAAACTAATCTTCGCGTCAGTAGAACGTCCAAGGAGCAACGTCCAGAACAGCAAAGAGAACTGAGGTGTTGTGGTCATCGAAGCTCACATGCGCAAAGCACATTCAAAGGACGGTAGGTGTACGGCTATTGGCTTCGCGAACAACAGGTGATGAGGCGCGTGTAACGACTTTACGAAGACGACGAGAAAGGTGAGCACTCATCAATGATTATTGGGCCCTTGTGTGGATGAGCGCTGAAACAGGCATGCCCTCTACATCTACATCCATAAGCTTTTGTCGAGATGCCAGAGTTAACAGAGGATTTCCGAGTCGATCAGTCAAGGCAGCATCACCTTCCGGGAGCTGCACTGGTCTGTTTTCCCGAGGAAGGACGGTGAGGGGGAGCGACGGGACATAAGCAACCGAGAAAGTCGTTGGGTCTGGGGAGACGGCGACGGCTCATAATGTGGGGTCGATGTTCGGGCATTAGTGTTCAGTGGATTGCCGTGCAAAGGGGAGGATGAAGTGTCGTCTGGACGGTATGGTGCACGAGGAGACGATGGCCGACGATAGCGACAATAGAGGGAAATGTGACCGGCGCCATTGCAGTTGAAGCATATCGACCCGTCTTCTCGCGTGCGCCACTGGTTCGAATCATGGTACCCGGAATAAGTCAGTTGTGGCTGGTAGTATGGAGCAGGGCTGACGTAGAACGACTTTGGGCACATACAGGCTGGATGCCTGCATTCGCCAGTTCTTCGCGCACGGCGGCCTGAATTAATGACACTGTCGGGCGGGCCTCCTCGTGAGAATTAGCCTGGGGAGCAGATGGAGTTGCTGCCTCGATATTACGCCGCACGAGACGCAGGAAGTTTTTGGTACAGGGCGGCGGCTGGATCTAGACGTCTTTGCACGACGACGTGGCAGCAGTGGTAGGGAGCTGAACAAATTGCTGCGTAACATGTCGGCTTTTTGCTTCTTCGAAACTTCAGCACTCCCTGATAATGTCGTAAATGGTGGAGCAGTCTTTGTACACGAGCAAGTGAAGGGCGTCGTGAGCGATGCCTTCATTAATGTGGGTGACTGTTGGCTTCGGCCATTTGGCTATCAACTTGCCGGCACAAGGCTAAGACATCTTGTATGTAAACCATGTGCAGCTCCTTTGAGGTTTGGGCACGGCACGAGAGTTCTTTCTCTTGGCATGCAATGGGCTTTCCAAAAAGGTGTTTCATTTTTTTTGTTTACATACGTCTTTTTTTTGTTACGTACGGTTTAAATTCTCCTCGTGTGTGTCGAACCACACGTTGGCCCTACCCCTGAGGTAGTACCTGACGTTTGCAAGCATCAAAGTCGAATCCCAGCGATTGGTCTTGCTGCTGCACTCTTAGTTGGCCAGCCACTTCTCCACCTGACTGTTATCAGTCCCGCAGAAGGGGCCTGGGCCTCGGAGGTGGGTCACGACAATGTGACTGGGTGCATTCGGCATAGCGGGGGCTGGATCAGCAGAATTGTCTGCCGGCATGATGGACTGTCCAAGAATACGCCCGCTGCGAAGTTCCGTTGTGTGCTCCTGATGTGCCCAGCACCTTTACCAAAGATGTTACGGGGAGATGACAGAAAACGAGTGTATTTACAATATTCATAGTAACAATACTGCGGTTAAAAACCACGATGGCCAGGACAGGCACCACCTAGTCTTTTAACTTCTTCGGTTTCTAGGTAAGCGGCACATAACTATACTGTCAGTGTCGTGGTTTTGGGACATTAACCCCACCGCCACTCAAAAAACGCAATTGAAGAGCTCATTACTCCTGACGGTAAGGCGAAACAAAAGTCGCTCATGGTGGAATTGCACAATGTTACTGAACAACATTGATGAGTATCTGATTGTGACTTGTGAGGGCCACACCTGGTGGATCCAAGAGACTAGTGGGATTAGTGGGCACCATTCTTTAACATCAGCTTTGACAAGGCTGTATGCATGATACTGAGGTAGTAGTGCAGAGCCAAATGCTTCTGCCTGTGGCTAAGGTGACCAATTGTAAGGTTATGATATTACAGCTAATGCGAGGAGTCGTTCTCGCTTTGGTTCAATCAAAGATGAAGCATCAAGTGCAGCGGTGGCGATGAGCTGCTCCTTCGCGTAGATTTAGGTTCACTTTAAAGAATCCCACATGGCCTAATTTGATCCGAAGTCACCCACTGTGGGCCCCGTCGCGGTGGTCTACTGGCTAAAATACTTAACTGCTGACCCGCAGGCCGTGGCATTGAATCCCGGCTGTGGTGACTACATTTCCGATGGAGGTGGAAATGGTGTAGGCCAGTGTGCCCAGATTTGGGAGCCCGTTAAAGAACCCCAGGTGGTCGAAATTTCCGGAGCCCTCCACTACGGCGTCTCTCACAATCATATGGTGGTTTTGGGACGTTAAACCCCACATATCATCAGTCGCCCACTGCGGTGTGCTTCACAATCATATCATCGTTTCGCCACATAAAACCCTAGAAATGATGTTTGAAACCAAGTTGGCTCTGTGCCTAGAACTGTCGTGAGCCCAGTTGGTGGGAGGCAGCTGCCATTCAGTGCAGCCTTGCACCAGGCACATTTTTCTCTATGCTGTGGCTCAAAGAATGGGGCCTCTTCTTTGCTCTCTTGGCAGCTGGCTCAACTGCTGGGCGCCCTGTAGGGACCCTCTTGGACCCCCTTGTAAGCCCTGGCCTACGCCTAGCAGTGCTGGTCGGTTGCACCCTTATGTGACGGGCCCGGCGACGTCTTGCTGCAGCGGTAGCCTTGAATGCCAGCATCAGTCCTGTCCCATCGCTGCTGTTCTGAACACGAGCAAGCTCCTCTGCAAGGCCCTTCACGATATCAAGGTAAGCTGGATTGTGTGCATTCATAGAATGCACACGCCGCAACTGGACCTCCAGGAACTCATATGCATGTTCTTGGGCCTGCACCAAAAGTGATGAAAGAAATATACTTCAAGTGTACAGCACACCAACAAGAACTGCACATTTATTTTGCTCCTCTCTAACTGCAGACAACTGCTCGAGAATAAAGTTCAAGCTGAGGAGTCAGTTTAAGTTAAGGTTTTCCTGTCACCTGTTTTGACTATTCTGTTAGTGGAAGTGCTGCTAATACCAACAATTGGTGACCTGTAGTCCCAAACATGGAACAATACGACACCAATAGTGTTGAAATCTTGAAATCGCCCTCAGAATGATGACATCCACCAATATGAAATTGTAAATTCGTGAGTGCGGTGGAGCACAATAATATGCTTACAGGAATAAAAGAAGCCTTGACTACTGTTCAGTAGCATTCCCTATGTTTAATTGAGAAGTACTTCAGGGCCCTTTCAAGGGGCTTGTCCTACCTGGGCAAGTTGGGCTGCATCAGGCACCGACGGTACAGGTGCGAGGTGTGTGGCCTCTTGCGTGCTGGTGCCTTGCATTGCTTGGAGTTCGTCTGGCTCCTCCTGCTGGGCACTGGTACCTGCCGTGGTTCTGGAACTACTGCTGGGCTCCTCCTCTTGGAAGGGTTTGAAAAATATCCTGGGGGGACACTTCTCGCCCAGGGCCAGCTGTCCCAGTTGGTACCAGTCGTCAGTACTCAGTGCCGGAGCATTCGGAAACAGTCCTCCGTACTTTTTCTGCACCAAAGCCTGGTGCTTACAAAATGCACCTTGTTTACCAAAGAGACACGTACATAGTCCTATGTCAGCATAGACCTCATAACTGGAGCTGGGGTGGGTCACACTAGGCACAATGTACTGTCCCTGGCCTACCACTTGGATGGCGTCGGCTGCATCTTTCGGCATTCTCGACAGCAGCCGCTTGTACAGCAGTTGATGGGCTGCAACACGGCTGTAGGCGTGGCGGAGGATACGGCTTTCAAAGTATTTCTCCCACACCAGAGCCACCGAGTCTACGAGTGCGACTGCATTAAATGCTTCGACTCTGTTCAGAATAATGTCTTTGAGCACGCGTCTGGTTGCCTCCGCAAAATTGTTGGTGTTGTGGCCCCTTGTCAACACGTCCAAACGGTAGAGCTGCACCCACTCTTCTTGTCGGCGCAAGAATGTCAGAACTCTAGACACGAAGGCATCGTGTTGTAGGGCCTTCACTTCGGCAGTGGCAGCTTCAAGTTTTTCTGCTGTGTCTGCATACATGACCTGCAGATAGCAGGAAATTTTTCAATGAGGTGCTCGTATTTGGATATTTTCGCTTTTTTTAAACTGCACCATAATACAGATTCATGCTTCACTGTCTGCATTGAAGTCACTTTGTGGTCTGCACATGCTTGCCCCAGTTCAAAAGCCAGTAAATAACCCCCAAGGACCAAAAATCAAAAATATGTGCACCTTTGCTCCGTGAACATGCTGCCTCCTCAAGGATTTTGCAAATACTTTATTAAGGAATTCACAGGGGTTAGAACATTGGTTTCAGCTAGTTTCAAATTTTCGTGCGGTCTCGCCACCCTTCTCTTTCAAAGGGAGGAAAAAGCGTAGCCTGCCGTCGTGACTGGTTTAACCCAATCGATGAGCTGCGTGCTTCGTCAAGTCGCCGATCGGCGAATTTGTGTCACTGCTCATGAAAGGAGGATTGGTCAGGTGTAGGAAAGGAGCGCGGGAATTGTTTTTCTAAATGGAGGCTGTGCACGGTGCGCAGCGCTGTAATCTGGAAATTGATTGCCGCGGTCTGCTCTACGAATTGCCAAGCGGTGGTCCATAAAAGTTGATGCTGCTGACATTTTCTGTACGCTTGTGCGAATAGGGAATTTTAGGTTCGAAGTGAATTCGAAGCGAATAGTGATTTTGGTCGAATAATATCTAATTGAATTGTAATAGTATATATATTGCATATTATAAACAAAAAGGGGCATATTTGTCATGGCCAAACAAACTTGCACAGATCTTTAAAAATTGAAACAGGGCCTATGCAAAGGCCATTTTTTTTTTCATCAAAGGAAGTGGCAACAACTTCGAATTGTAGCAGCATTCGACTTTTGGTGCAGTCCAAGTAATAGCCAGTAAAATATGCTGCGTTTCAATTTTTTTTACTTAGAGCATATAAATCTGTGTAACGAGCTTTTAAACTGAAAACAAAAAAAAAGCAGAATCGATGTCATTGTAATTCTTTATTAAAACCTTGAAGTGGGGCTTTGCTGCAGTGCGAATTTCTCTTGATTACGTGTTTTCACGGCTTAGCACCAATTCACTGCAGTGAAACCACTTTTACATCTGGTCTAATATGCTTGGGTAAGTGCTTTCATGGTTTAGCATCCCTCCACTGCCGTGAAACCACCTTTACAGAGTGTTACATGTGGACTAATATACACCTATTTTGTTCGTTTTTAATAATTCAAAAATTTCAGCAATTTAACTTCGATTCAAATCAAATTTGATTACTGCATTATTCATTTGAATATTCAAAGCATTTGAATATTTGTACAAGCCTCATTTTATGGCATTCGAAATCATTTGAACCCACCAGACGTTTACTGGTGTACTTTTTAAATGTGATTAAAATGGACACAAATACTGTCTGCGTTTTCATCTGCAGATTAGGGAATCTTGTGCGGCATACACTTCAAATTATATCGCGAGGAAGTGAAGGTAATTCATGCACTAGCCTTGCAGGACAGCTGTGCTTTTTATACACCTATGCTGCTATGCCAGCGCCATCATCTTGGAAACATGAAACGAATGCTAAAATAGCAGACCATTGTGAATTTGTTCACTAAGTGCAGATGCAACGAATGCACCTCGTATCTTAGAGCTAGAGTTACAACTAGATTGCAAAAAAACTTGCCAGTTGGAAGGCAGACATGAATCGTCTCCTCTGGTCTTTGTCGACAGAGTTGTGAGATGTCGTCAGCCAGTGCCACTCCGCTTGTGCCACATGAAAATGGCACAAAAGCTGCCTTGCTGACGGCCATGTCTGCTGTAGGGCGGCCTTCTCAGCACTCGAATTGTCGCTCATGAATACCTGTGGGGCCTGGCAGACAATGCAATAAAGTTGAAAGCTGTTCATAGTTATAAAGGCATAGAAAAGTCGTGGCTGTTGTGAGAACAATTTTCGTGGGTGAATCAAAAAATATAAATAGCCTTGGCTAATAATTTTCTATTGAACTTGAGTTCGCTATTTGCTTTTTAATAAACTATAGAGAGCAGTAACATTTAAGGTAAGTTTCAAGGTTAAAGACAAGTGTAAGTTTGCATCTGTTACCAGTATATTAAAAATAAGAGAGAGTTCGGGCAATAGGTCCACGAACTCACTCATTGGCCAACTCACACGGGCTCACTCAGACTCGCATTATGAGTCTGAGTCTGGATAAGCACTATTTTTGTGAGTCGAAGTCCGAGAGAGTTTGTTTGAAGAAAATTTTAGTGAGTGTGAGTCCGAGCGGGTTCGGCTAAGCAAAATTTTGGAGAGTCTGAGTCCGAGTGTGTCTAAAGCGCAAAATATATTTCTTGAGTGAGTTCCACTTTCTTTTGCCGACTTGAGGTTCCACCTAGACATTTTCAGCATTACTCAGCCTTACCTAGATTCACATTTATACTCACATCTATTCATAGGTATTCCAAAGCAGTGTTTTTCATACACCGTTTCAATATTTATTAATTAGACATTTGAATTATACAAGGGGGCACCTTGGCAGTCCCAAACTAAGTCTTCCAGGGAATTTCTCGACTATTATATTTTAACATCTCCTCCAAGAAAAATGACTTTACTGGTTTGGAAGCACTCGGAACTCGTTTTCGAAGATGCTGTGTGAAGCGGCACCAAGAAGAGCACCGATTACATCAGATATTGGTGTTAAAGAGCATTGACACCACAATCAAAGAAGCTAATTCCATTCTGATGAACTCATGAGTTGACTCAGTAGTACTCACTCACACTCGGGTCCAGCCGTGAGTCTGAGGCTGAGTGTGTGCGGTTGAGTAATGTTTTGGTGCGTTTGAGTCTGAGTGAGTCCGGCTTAAGAACCTGTATGGGCCTGTACAAAGGCTTACAGTATTGTTAAATAAATAAATATGTGTGAACGAGAGTTTGGGTGAGTTCAGCTCAGAAAAAATTTTGTGAGTCTGAGTACAATGAGTGGAAAGTTCAATATACAAGGTGCATTTGATTTACCTGCACCAATTGAAACCGGTTCACGGCTGTGCATGCAAAGTTCAGAAATTGTGAAGCGCAAGTTCAGTGGTGCAGGCACAGTGCAACACCCAAAACGAATGACGATGTGCTGATGCAGGCCTTATTTCTGTTCACTTAGTTAACACCGTTAAGGTAACACTGACCGATGGCCAAATGATTATGCATACAGTTTATGAGGCACAAACTTCTTAGCAAAAAACACATCGTGTTAGTGGAGGCAGGTACGGTGCCTACACCAAAGTATTGCGTCGTCTGCTCAGCTGCAATCGCCCCTGCACCAAGCCGGCACTGTCAGTGTGGGAGGGGCGGGAAAATCGTGAACCAGCGCTGTACCTCTTCTGCACCTTTAGAAATGAATGGCAGGGTTCAGAGGTTGTCAATGCTGCACCGCTGAAACGAATGGCAAGACGCATAACATCGTGAACTGGTTCACGTGGTGCAGGCAAATTGAACAGACTGACATATTTCATGAATGAGCCTGAGAGAGTTCCAGAAGCTATGCCGACCTATAATGTGGGCACATGTTTTAGCTTGAGAAACGCTTATCTAGCCTGAGTGAAATGCACAGAACAGGCACACTTCACCCACAATGATGGTGTCACATAAGAAAGATTAGAATTCATAGCCATATGTGTGATGATGATGAGAGCATGTAGGTGATTTCTATAAATGCCCACAAGAACCACAAAGGCCCTCTCCTGTGGCTTAGTCTG